TCACTGTTTGAGGTTGTTTTCTAAGAATTATGTCGTTGTTGTTTAGCCTCCTTGTTCCTTGCTATTGTTTTTGATCTTAGGCAGGATAGAGTTTTTTTTTGTGAGGTTCTGATTGATGAGGGCATGCTGTTGGGTTATGTAAGCAATGTGTGAACTTTTTTATTCTGACTTTCTTGTCATATCGATTTTCTTTCATACCAATGAGAGTCTGGATAATGGTCAATAAATTCTACTTTTCAAAAAAAAAAGTCACCAGTCAAAGACACTAAAAACTTAATAATGATGTATGTCAAGTGGCCAATTGATGCAAATTGGAAAGTGAAGAGACAGAATAATAGACTATATATATATATATATATATATATATAATTCAAACTTTAAAGAAAAAGACTAAATGCCTTATATTCAAACTTTTGGAACTGATTTCTTTTTCGAACTTTATAACATTCTGCTTTCTAAAAGTATGACGTTCAAGGATTATAATTAAGATGCTAACGAAGTCTAGGAACCAACCAAGTTTGAGTACTGCTGTTTTGGCTTAGGGGCTTGGTGCAGGACCATCCTTACGGTATGATTGGTATGCACATGTGAATGTGATTCCATAACAGTACATTATTCAATTGGAAGATTTATTCATGGATTTCTATACACTGTAGTGGGGAGGTTCTGAAATTAAAAGGTTTTGGACGAATTTATCCTGGATGGGTTTGCGTGAGCCGTGACAAGGGCTCCGAACATGGGACTCTAAGCAAGTACCGAGTTAGTCAACTTTTATTGAAAAGAACAAAATCAAATGAATAAATATTAAAAATTTTAAAATTAATATATTAAACTTAATCAATAATCAAAATATTGTTAATAAAAAATAATTTTATATAACATATAAATTAAAAAACGAAAGATTTACAATAGTTTTTTAGAAAAATTATACTCGATTATATTTTTTGAATTTAAATTTATCAATTAAATATTATATATTGAAAAAATTCATTTCTTTAAGAATGAGTATTGAACATTTTGATGCATATTATTTTTATTTATGAGTTGAAGTATTGAGGCTTGATGATTCAAATATAAGAGAATTATTTGGATGATTTGTATCCATTTTTTTAAAAAAATTTATTAATAGTTTTCAACCAACTCATTCTTTAATCAAACTTGAAAAAAAATTAATACATTCAACATCTTATATTTTTATTTTATTTCTCTTTAAACTTATAATACTAAATATAAAACTATAATAAATAAAATATAAATAGTTAAATATGATATACAAGATTAATAATTTTCTCTTATATAATTAAGATTATTTAAAGACTATATATTCAAAATAATTTCTTTTCAACTAAATATAAAACTTATAACAGATAAAAAAGATATACTCAAGTTAATTTCCTCTTATATAATCAAGATTAATTAAAAATAATAATACATTGATAAAATTTTAAATAGCAGTGTAATACTACAACTTATTTTTTAAAATTATATAATAATTTATTAATTTTTAAAGATTAAAATCTTGATAAATAAAATTGACATGATAGGAAAAAATTGAACACAATAAATAAAAGATGAAACTCACATATGACATAACAAAAAAAAATATAATTGATGATTAGTAGAAATTAAAAAAAATAAATCCATAGAAATTTAGAACATATAAACAAATAGTATAAAAAATATAAATTAAAAAATTAAAAAAAAACTTTAAACTTGAGTAAAACATGTGGGATTTTTTTTCTTTATTTATATTAATTATTAAATAAAAATGATTGAGAGAACCATTAAGAGAATATATTAAAAATTTTGGGAGCCATACGAGGCTCTGCCCCTGGCTTTAAGTGGGCAGTTGGGAGGGTCTTTAACTAATGTTTTATGTGTTTGATCAAAAGAAGTAATACTTTGTAGAATTTTTATTATTATTACTTTTAATTAATTTATAAAATACAATGATAAAATTCCTATGTTAATTCAAAAATAAGGGATAAATTTAATCAATCATTTGAAATAAAATGATAAATTTGACATCATTTCTTGTATTTTTTTAAACAAAAAGTAAAAGTAAAGTAGATTGACTCATTAGTTATGGAAGATCTTATACAAATCCTCCAAAGTAAAAACAGAGGGACTTTCTTTTAACATAATGAATACCACAGGGAAAAAGGGGTGTTGTTTTGTCGGTTGCGTCCTTTATTACCCTTTCTCCCACTCATTTCTCTTTCCCAGTCATGACTTTGCGTCAAGTACTGCCTGCGCAACATCACAGATAAGGTCAAGTTGACTGAGACAAATCACGAACTGCCGCGTGTCTACGGTCCACACGGTACTTGTAGTTTCTTCGCAACCTCCAAGGACATGATGACACTCGCGCAGACTTCAACGGCTCCACGCTGTGTTGACTTGCCTTCCCACACCATTCATATGTTCTCCTTGATATACATAAAAACATTCATCCTAATTCCAAACCATTCAAGTGTCTAACTTCTTCTTCTTCCCAGAAAATATCCCTTTTGCAACGATTGTTCCATTGAATTTGGTATTACTATATTTTTGCAACAGTTTAAAGATTGTTGTGAGTTGTGACATCCTCTAGAATATTACTTTTTGTATTCTTCACTGCAGCTATAGCCATGGCCTCCCTTTACCCAAGCGATTATGAAAAATTTTCAGCTCCACCACCGCAGTTTGGCCAAGCTGCCTCCACCGGGATTCCAGTCAGCTCCTCGAACCAATTCTACACAGAGAGTTCTCATAGCAACACCCTTATTCAGACTAAAACTAGAGTCCCTTGGTCCTCGGGGCTCTGCGACTGCTCCTCTGACTGGAAAAATTGTAAGTTCATGTTTTCTTTTCCTAGCAAATAGTGGAGTTCTAGTGGCGCGTCTATGCACGCGCTGCAAGGAAGTATTGGTTGAAATGTCGAAACTCACAGTTTCTGTTATTGCTGTCCTTTGTAATTTTTGTTCATACAGGTTGCATAACATGTTGGTGTCCTTGCGTCACCTTTGGCCAGATTGCCGAGATCGTTGATAAAGGATCTTCATGTAAGTTAAACAGTACATAGTTTGGCCTGCTAGAGTCAAGTTTTTATGCCATTCCGGGAAGCTAGATCTTAGACTTAGACACTTGGATTCCATTTGGATGTTTATGCGATGTTGACATACAAATATATTTCAACATACTGGCAAATGCAATCATCTTTTCAACACACTTTAAATTTTACTTCAGTAACAATACGAAGTGAACCATAATTTTTTTAAGTAAAAAGTTGAAACTTCTTATATATGTTAGTAGAAGAAAATACTTGGTAGCTATTGGTCAAGCCTTATATTCAATAGAAATGAAGTTTTTTGACAGTAGGTAAAACTATCCAACCCTTAACAACCTCTCTTATCATTATTTGAGTAAAGCCTAAGTTCTTTCCTTTTACTTAATCTTATAGCTGGTGATTTGGGTTCCGTGGTTAATGTATGTTTCTGGTGAAATTACTGCCTGCAGCTTGTGGTGTAAATGGAGCACTTTACACGCTAATCGCCTGCGTAACTGGGTGTACTTGTTGCTACTCATGCTTTTACCGCTCCAAAATGAGGCAGCAGTACATGCTGAAGAAAAGCCCATGCGGGGATTGCCTTGTCCACTGCTTCTGTCAGTACTGCGCCTTGTGCCAAGAGTACCGTGAGCTCAAAACCCGCGGTTATGACTTATCCATAGGTAACACTACAAATGAAACTAATTTCCCTCTGAAAGACCAGTTCAATAATAAAATTTTGTTTCCTATAATTTCTATTCCTGACGGATGATCGGTGGGTGCTTGTTGAAATTATATGTGTAGGGTGGCATGGAAATATGGAAAAGCATAATCGTGAAGTGGCTATGACTCCAATGCCGCCGGTTGTGGAATCAGGCATGAGCAGATGAAGTAATATCTGAGTGCCGAATAACTGTCATGTAATTATGTATCATGTCTTGGAAATCACAACTGTCATGTAATTACATGTTATGTCTTGGATATTACTCTTATGATTTTAAGGTTTTTTCCCAGTTCTATCGATGATTGTGTTGCGTAAGTCATATTCTAAGAAGTCTGATGGTTGTACGTTGAGTTCCTAAGGTTTTCTCCTGCTTAGAATTTATATAAATAATAAGTGAAACAAATGATGCAGATTATAATATACTTATTAGTTGAAGTCCGAGTAAATTTTATATTTCATTGCTTAGTCCAGGTGTATAACTTGTAGTATTAAATCTCGAAATTTGGGATTATAAATAAACCATATTTGATTCTTCACTGTCCTATATCTGGCAGCATCCCATTCATCTCCACCTTTTTTTATAAAGTAAACGTGATTGACAGTAATCAAGCAGCCACCAGAATAATATAGGGACCATAATTTGGCTAGCGACTAATCCGCGAGTTGTTTTTCTTTTGAAAAGCCAGTTGGATTTTATTGCCAGTAAGGTTCAATTACATAGGAATCTGGGCATGAGCGAAAGTGCGCCATACAGCCAGTTACTAGTCCATCTCAGCCACATTCAAAAGTACATATCATTTTTAAGGAGAAACAGCAGGGTAAAATCAGCTCCCTTGAACTACCCTGCACAACGTATATCTCCCTTTAAATGTCATCATAAACCCACCTAACTAAACCGACCTGCAGTCTTTCAAAGCACCATTAAATTGCTCGCCAAAGAGACAGAAACACCTCTTCCCCCCACCCCTTCCGCCCCTACTCTCAAACTCCACCGTCCTGTTTGATTCATAAGATAACCAGTGCCAGCTACCAAAAATGTATCAGTAAGCCCTGTAATCAATCCAAGCAGTCCAGGTGCCACTGTTGGCCAGCAGACGTGATGAATAGCCTCAAAAAAAAAAGAATTTCGAAGGGCAATTTAGTGACTTTCGTTCATCAAGGGATTAAGATTTTTTCCCTCCTTCAAACTTAAATACAAAAGAACAGACGAGGGAGAAGGTTTGGACTGTATACCAGCCCTTCATTTCAGTATACCTTCTCAACACTTAAAACTGCTAAACAGCCAATTACAAAAAATAAGGCATTCAGACTTTCAACCATGTACAAAACCAGAGGACCCAATTAATACATTTCAAAGAGCCATCCCCTACCCTTTTTGCATCAAAACCGGCCCTCAACAATATGAACACAAAATTCAATCACAAACCAAATCCAGGACCATCACTGGTGGCACAAAAACAGCATGCCTACTTCAATAGCCTCAAAAATGATCATAAGGCAACAATCACCATTAACCGTCGGACATAAACTTACAGTGGGAAAAAGGAGATCAGTTCCTTGCACCTTCCTACACCAACTCCATCAACTCATCATCCTCAAATGCAAGCATTAATGTGTCCTGTCCGAGCACTCTAGATTTAGCTAGACTGTCAGCCATTTCATTGACGATTCCTCAATGTGCGAACAACCTGCCAGGTCTTCCGCTCATTTCAAGGCATCAATGCTCAGCATATGTTTCTCATCCTCCAAGGGGACTCTAAAGTTTGTCGATCCAGTTGACAGAATTTATGGAGAAGCTTTCTACTATTAAACCATAAGACGCAGTCCACTTTGATGCTACCAAAATTACAAATGCTTCCTTAATTGTCTATATTTCTGCCAGATTTGCATCCCAAAACAATTGCTTTTGGAAACAACAATTTAATTACACCTTTGTCCATCTCTTAGAACTCTTCCAGTCCTAGCTTGAGCCGGGTTACCTCTGCTTGCAACATCTACATCTAACTTTAGGTAGCCATTTGGGAGGCATTTCCATTCCAATCCTCCCCTTTTCAGTCTCTCCCTAGTTGGCGCTATAGCTAACTCAGGATACCTAAATACCTCCATAACAGATTTGTTTTTGTTTTACCATCTGGTATTGACCCACCATGCGATTCGAAGTCTAATTGTCTCCATTACTTGCAACCTATCCCACATTTATCTTTGAACACCAATTGATTTTTGAAAATCCAAATGGACCATAATATGACTAAAGTCTTCATATGCGGATGCACCCAAATGAGGAACAAATCATTCCATGGCGCAAAAAAGGATGAAGCCTTTTCTGACATCACCCAGGTAATATGACCCATAAGCCGCACCAAGTAGACCAAATACTTTAAGATTCCCTGCAAGAAAAAAAAATGTGGAAAACAGGTTCATTTTCGATGTTACATAACAAGCACAATGTCGATCCCCCATTAATGATCAACCCTGTCTTTGCAAACTTTTCTTTCATCGCTCTCATCCCTTGCAAGACTCTCCAGCAAAAGATTACAACTTTAAAATAGTGTAACTCCGTCCAAACTCTCTTCCGACGCTCCATTACACTCCCTATGATCGTTTTGCAGAAGACTGTTGAATTCCACAAAAAATTTCCAGAAAATGTACTGAAGAATTTTCAGAGAAGAAAGTTGAAGAAGAAAAACTGCAACAGAGCCAATGAATTGTCAAAATAACTTCATGTTTTTCCATTTCAATTCCAATATTTATTTTTTAGAATAAAACTAACAAAGGCCCAAATGTAGTCTCGAGAAAAGACTGTGCCTTTTTCTTGCGTAAATCCAAAATCAGATAAAATATTTCTTAACCCATGAGCATGGTTTGCAACAAAGGCAGTAGCTATGTATTCAACTCTAACATCTTGTTTTTTAGAGTTTCAAGAAAAAAACTCCACTTCCAAATGAAAAACAGAATCCACTTATGCTTTTGGAATCATCCACTGAACTTGCCTAATCACTATCACTCTTAACCTTAGAGCTCATTGCCTTCATTTTTTAAGTACCTTAAACCAAACTTATTGTGCCCTTAACATATTTGAATATTCTCTTAGCTGCTGTGTAGTGTAATACTGAAGGTGATTGCATCAACGTTGATAGTAGACTAATTGAGAACATTATATCTGGTCTGGTAGCTGATAGGTATAAATATGGACCTATCCACTTTTGTAAACTAAACCCTTAACCTCAGCAGCCCCATCATTCTTGCTTAACTTGTCACCAGTAGATAATGGAGTATGCACAGGTTTACAAGATTCCATTTTGAATCTCTTCAACAGATCTTTGGCATACTCAAATCTTTTGTTAGCAGTTTTTATAAACCCCATTACCAAGAAAAAATAAGTCATTTGCCCCAAATCTATCATTTCAAATTCCTTCTTCATTTAGTTCTCAAATTCTCCCAAAAACTCATTGTTAGGACCTATTATCAGTAAGTCATCAACATATAAAACTACTATAAGTACAACAAATCTATTTAACCTCTTCACATATAGTGTAGGTTCATTAATGCTTCTATCGAAGCCCTGACTTCCTAAATGGTCATCCATTCTCTTATACCAAGCTCTAGGTGTCTGTTTTAGTCCATACAAGGCTTTGATCAATTTGCTAACATTCCTTTATAAGTCCTTGTCTTCCTAACTTTCAGGCTGCTCAATGTGTATGTCTTCAGTTAGGTACCCATTAAAGAAAGCTGACTGGATATCTAAGTGATAAATCTTTCATCCTTCCCTTGCAGACAATGCAGCAAGCATTCTAATAGTATCATGCCTAGGAACTGGTGCAAAGGTCTTAAAGTAATCTATGCCATATACCTGTGCATACCCTTTCGCCACTGGTTTGGCTTTGTACTTGGCTTTGTACTTGTTAACTGAGCCATCAATATTCAGTTTAGTTTTATAAATCCGTTTCACACCTATAACACTTTGATCTATTAGCAATAGTCCAAGTACAATTTTTCTTAATCATTCTTATCCTAGCATCCATAACTTCCTTCCGGTTCTTGTCCTAATATGCATTAGTGAAGCTACCAGATTCAACTACTCCAACATTGCATCTGTTATAGATAACTTACAAAGTCCTTATTCCCTTCACAACTAAGTTTCCATCTTCAATGTCCACTAATTCAATATCTTCAATTTGTGCATTTTCATCAAGAAAACTTACTTTATTTAAAACTTCAGTAATGCCTTTTTCCCAATTTCATTTTTTCCCTTCATTATAAAACTCATCTTTGCCTATGAAAAGCTTCTCAAATTTGACATCAAAGAGCCTATAACCTTTACATATCTCACTGTAGCCTAGGCAAATAGCTATCAGTGACTTTGCATCCAATTTAGTTCTCTTTTCATCTATAATTTTAGCAAAACAGACACAACCAAAAGTTTTAAAGTGAGAAATTGATGGTTTGTGTTCATACTACATCTCATAAAGTGTCTTTGATATCAGTGCCTTGGTATAAGTCATATTTAGAATATAGTTTACAATATTAACTACTTCAACCTAGAACTTTTTTAAGTCCATCTGAAATAGCACGCACCTTGCCATTTCCATAAGAGTTTTGTTTTTCCTTACTGTAATTCCGTTTTGGTGAGGGCTATAAGCAACTGTAAGCTGATGCTTGACCCTTAAACTTTCAAGATACCTTTCAAACTCAACAACAGTATACTCTGAGCCATTGTCACTTCTCAGAGTTTTAATTTTTTGTTCTACATAATTCTCAACCAAGGCCTTGAACTAGATTAAGTTCATTAATGCTTCTAACTAATGCTTCAAAAAATAAATTCAGAAAAAGCGAATCAAGTCATCAGTAAAAATTATGAAAAATTTACTACCTTTCAAACAAAGTTCTTATTGGACCATATTCACCAATTCTAATTTTTACTTAGCCTTCCATTTTCTCTCTTTTGGAAATGATTTTCTACTTTGTTTTCCATACTGACAAATTTCATATAGTTTAGATGACTTAGCTACACTACGTAGGCCACTAACTAACTCTTCTGAAGCCACTTTTATTAGTGAATTAAAATTCACATGCTAATATGAAGCTTATATCAATTCAGAGAATAACACTTGTTCTTCATCTTAATACTAAGCATCTTAGCACGATCAAATATAGTGCAAAATTTATCTTTAAACAGCAAAACATAGTGGCCATTAATTGACTGACCTACACTAATGAAGATCAGTGATATATTTGGTACCTGAAAAGGTCTCTACAACCATTATACCAATGCCAAATATCTTCAAGTATACACCATTCCCAATTTTCACTCTAGCGTTGAAGCTCCTATCAAGGTCGTTGAACAAATCTTTATTACTAGTAAGATTATTAAAGCATCCACTATCTATCAAACAAGCATTCTTCATCACTAAGTCATCATCCATCTTAGCCATGAATAGCAGCTCTTCTGGTTCATCTCTTTACTCAGCTACAGCAACAACCTTATCTTCATTTTCATTTTCCTTTGCCTTACAAACTTTCTCAACCTGTCCTAGCTAATTGCAGGCCTTGCATTTCACATTTGGCTTATACCAGCAATACTTAGAAGTGTGGTTTTCTTCTTGCAATAAAAGTAAGGAGGGTATTTATCAATTTGCTTACCCTACTTACTATCACCAATTTTGTTTCCTTTTCCCTCGAGCTTCATGGAACCATCATCCTTGACTTTCAAGACCTTAGTTTTGGCTATTAAGGCATTCTCTACAAAGTCTTCACACTTGATGGCTTTCCTCTGCTGTTGCGCCTACAATGCATTGATTAACTCATTCACTAATATCCTAGTTAAGTCCTTTAAGTCTTCCATAAGGAAATTTTTGCTTCAAACCTCTCTAGTAAACTAACCACGAACTTGTTACCAACCTTTCTTTTAGTCACTTCTTCTCCCAATAATCTCAACTGATTAACAATCCTTTGAACCTTGTTTGCAGAAGCTTGAATGCCTTCATCATTCTTCATTCTCAAAAGCTCAAATTCTTTTGATAAATTCAGGACTTGGATCTGCGTGGTGTGGTCACCTCCCTGAAATTCCTTCTTTAATGTATCTCATACCTATTTAGGATCATCAAAGGTCATTATCTGAGTGAAGATTGAATCTGATAAGGTAGAGTAAAGGCATGAGAGTGCCTTGTATCATTTGGCAACCTCCTTGCTATGTTGCTTGATTTGAGCCAATGTTGGATTGGCATGTCTTCGCACAGGCAGATCACCCCCCACTCTAACTACCTCCCATAAATCGAAAGCCTTAAGATATGTTTTCATTTTCACTGCCCAAATGGGATAATTTGAGCCTGAAAAGATTGAAGGAGATAAAAAACTAAAATGTGCTGAAGCCATCAAATCAGTGTAGAATAGCCAAATGATATGAAAGGGAAATGTTTGTAACAGTTTACAAGTCCCTCAACAAGCTTTAAAGCTTTGAAACCATATTGAATTCCAGAAAATTTTCCAAAAAATGTACTAAAGAATTTTCAAAGAGGAAGGATGAAGAAGAAAAATTGCAACAAAGCCAATGAATTGTCAAAATAACCTCACATGTTTTTCCATTTCATTTCCAGTATTTATTTTTTAGAATAAAACTAACAAAGGCCTAGATGTAGCCTCGAGAAAGGAATTCCACAAATGATGGTGGAGCACAGAAAACTTGGCATTGTTTTCTATGCCCAACAACAACTAACAGAGGAATTAGAAAGCAAGTGACATTTGTGCCTAAAAAAAAACCCAAAAATCACAAAAGAATTATGGTAGCGTTGAGTACTTTATAACGCAATATGATTATAGATAATTTGATTGCAAGTAATTTGATTGCAAATAATATTATTGTAGAGAAAATAACATTATAGTATTTAGTATACAAGCAAAATAATAATTAAAATGTAAAAAAGATAATATTACAGCGTTTGATTTACAAATATTTTACTGGAAATATAATGTTAATTTTTAAAATTATCTCTATTTATTAAAATACAAGTTTAATATACTTATATTTTTTATTGTTAATTTTTATATAATATCATCTCTTAAATATATTTTTAATGTAATATATTTTATTTTCATTTTTTACTATAATCTTATATATTTTATTTTCATTTCTTTAATATAATTTTTTATATTATATATTCTATTTTAATCTCTTTTACCAATATTATATAAATTTTAATTTCTTATATTTTATTTTATTTTAATTTTTGATTCTTATATTATATATTTTATTTAAATATTTTTTATTTTAATTATAACATTACAAAATATTTTTAACAAGGTAATAAAATTGAAGGGTAAAAATATCTTTAAGAATATTACAAAATAAAATGTAATGTGATTGCATTGGTTTTAGATTGTGATCACATTACATCACTTGACTGTAATGTGATTATATTGCAATAGTACCTTATAGTGGTCAGTTACAAAATAAACTCTGTAATATAATTTAATTGAGTATAATACAAGAAATGTGCCCTCATTTTCTTTATACCAAACATTACCTATGTATATCAAACAGAAAAATAGAGGCATTAGATAAATGACATTAGCAAGTGCTTTCAACCTTATACAAACACCTAAAACGACACTACAAGTAACTGTTTCACACAAAAATAAAATGTGAGAAAAACGAAGTAAAATTTTGTGTTTTACAAAGTGTAATTTGGTAAACTTAAAACGATAACGTTTTGCTTTCACGGTAACCTTTTACTTCTTCAAACAACCGTTGATTCTCGCCGTACTAATTTTGTCTTTATGATGCTGCTGGTTTACCAAATTAAGATCATTTTTCCAACAAAAACCTAGTGAAATAATTCCCATTTGGACGACCCTTCCAATGCCATCTTATCCTAAACGTTCACCCAAATAGTGTGGTCTTCTAGAGTAAGCAAGTCGTTTAATAAACGTAGATAACTAGTAATCATGTTTCTCCTGTTAAAGTTGTTCTTTTGCTTCTGCTTTTACATCTGATGATGAGACCAGTGTTTATTGAAATGTTTTTATAAGGACTTGGGCATGTGGGTTTCATTGTTGTTTTTAAGTAATTTTCATAATGATTAATATTATAAAATTTTATTTATTTATGTTTTAAACTTATTTTTAAAAAATATTCAAAAAATTATGTAAAATAATTATTTAAAAATAAATAAAAAAACACAAGTATTTGCATGCAATACTCGTAACAATAAATATTAGCACTATTAAAAAATAATTATGAAAACAAAATATTATTACTAGCCAATTTGTACGATCATACCATCTTAATCTTAATCATGAAGCCTTCATCAAATTCAAATTTCACAAAATAGAATACCCAAGTCAAATAAACAAGAAATCTATCAAAATAAGAAAACAAGATATTGGTTCAGGGCCATAGAAGGATGGAATAGAATAAGAGGCAGGCCCTCTGCATTAATGAGCTGGTCTGAGACAAGTTCAAGATTGTTTTCCACATGAGATTGGAGGGGTCTAATTTTTGCCTTTTGTCATTTATGTCATGCTTCATTGAGGGCATTATTAAGAGTTTTACACACAAGTTTAGTGTAATTAATCAACGTCAAGTGTTGAATCAACGCATATGATAGATTGCTCATTCTGGAAGTAGGAGAATTTTCAGATAAGTGTATTAAAATGAATAACCAGATCCTTTCATTTGATCAATTGCCGAAACATAAAGCTCAAAGCCAGAATGCATTCAATCAATTTTTTCAAGTGGACAACTTAAACAATTGTATTGGATTTCTTGTTTCATCTTACATTTTTGAGTAGTTAGTCCCCATTTTTTATAATGGCCTCCATGTTGGAGACTTTTAAACAAGATCTTTGCTACCATTTTGATTCTCATACACATAGTTTTAAAAGATAAAAGGTTAATAAGTTTTTATTTTATTTTTTTACCCGAGCTAAATTTTGAAGGGGATAAACTCTTGATTTCAGGATTGCCACCTCTCAAAAGCAAATTGGTAAGGCAAAGTTCTAGATTATATTTCTATTATCGTTACGATTTTGATTTATTTAATTACTCATATCATGTTTATATTGATGTATATTTTTATTATATTATATTTCCACATAATATGATTGTAATCTTACACACAAATTGTCAAGTTTAGATTGACTTTGATAATTCCATCTACAGCTCGTGGAGTTCATACATAAATTATGGAATGAATGGTTAAGACGTGAGGAATGGAAGGGAGCAAGTATAAATTGTTATAACATGTTGTTCAAAGGGGAGATAGGAAACGAAGTAGGTGTTGATCAATCCATGAGTAACCCAATTTGCAAGCGAAGCCCACAAACAATCTGAACTAGTTAGGGATTGAAAGGACGCCCGAAGTCCCTAGTCGTTAAGAAAATGAAAAAATAATGAATACCTATAGCCCATAATATGGTTATTGAAATTGGAAACCCCAAACCGATCATTGTTATTCCATAAAATGGACGATTGATTGGATTCTATTCAGGTGATGACAGGGCAAAAATAAACTCTACAAAAGAGTGATGTAAATACGATAATCACATTTAAAATGAATCCTTAATTTGAGCTTAAACTCAAACCAATTATTTACTTGTATACAAATTTGCATACTATATTTGAGAGAGAGAGAGGAAAGAAATTTACTGTTGGGAATAATGGTATCCCTTTCTTTTGCTTTAGTATGTTTCTCTGTACCAGGGATTGCCCATGATGAAATCCATGGCTAATACAGTGAAAGCAAAGGGATGGGCAACCTTTCTATGGTCAGGTCAATGGCCAAAGTGAGACTACCCTTTTAGAAGGGCAATGGAGCAGCAACTCTCGAATGTGTCTCGAGTGTTGTTTGGGGGCCCATCGCGCCTTCTTTTTACCCGTGATTGCCGCTTCAGAAACGGCATCGATTAGGCATCAATTTTCACAAAAAAGAAGTCCCTAGCTCTGCCGACCAAACTTCATCACTTATAATTCTCATGTTGGCCCACCTCTCAATTCAATTAACTAAACAGCAAACGTGCTGAGACCACAAGGGGAAACTTTGCTAATTACTGCTAATGTGCGACTTGGGAAAAAGATTTGACAAATGATCTTCAATTGTAAGAGTGTAAGAATGCCAGATAAACCATGTTGATTTGCCTAAATGGTTTGGTGTAACCTCTGAGAAACAAAGTAGTACTAGCAGTAAACCAGCCATGGAAAGCAAAATGGTCACTTAGTTCTTTCCTGGAATTGTCAAATCAAAAGAGTAGTACACTTATTAAGTTTGGCTTGAAAAGAAAACAAAAGACAGCGTTGCATCTTTCCTGGATACACCCAAAAAAGAAGGAAAAACAACAGATTTCCTTTGAAACCAACCTATCAACTGAAATATGGACAAAATTGAATTCAACTTAAGTTTCTGTGAGATTAATTTTAAACTATATTAAATTGCCACTACCGTTAAAACTATCTTTTCCATGACTCTCTAACCTTTACTTAGATACCCATACATTCCCAGTGATTTATTTGCTTTGTATCAATCCCTTTCCCCCCTTTTTAATCCCTTCATCTTCAAGAATCCAACAACCTAATTCCATTAAATGAGGGTGGGACATTCAAAGGATAAGGCACATCTTCTAGACATACATCACCACGTGTGATAAATTTAATGTACGCAAGCTATCTTAAGATTTTGTGCAAGTTTGTAAGCTAAGCATTTTCCAAATGATGACAATTCAATTTTCCTACTTTCTTTCCTCTAAACTTTCGCATGTCCATAATAATAGTATAAAATTTGTATTAAAATGGTAATCGAAGTTACCATCAAAACTCTATCATCTAATCATCAACCAATCTAAAACAATGTACAATGATGACAACATTTAACCCTAAACCAAAACCCAAAGCCTTCCCTTAAGCAGAGTAGGGCATCATTTTTCATAATCCCATTCCCACTTCCCCACAAATAAATTACTATACTAATTATATAAATTAATAATGGGTAACTTCCCGCCAATCAATATACTATTTTAATTCATTTTGTCTCCGCAACCCCAAGCCCGACAAATAAAAAACCAAATATTTTACTAACTGTATATTAAAATTTCAGCTTTGTTCTTTTAACACCTTTACCTCTCTTCTTTCTTTCTTTTGATTTTTTTTTTTGTTTCTTCGAGACTTTTGATCAAACGAGTGGCACGAATAGCATTGCCAACTGAGAAATCAAGAAACATTTTCCTCTTTAGCTTCTTTGATCTTTAACTTCTTCTGGGTATCTTTTATATTGATGAGAAATTAAGGAAAGAGAAAGAAAAGCAGAGAGGAAAATGGAAGGAGCAGAGTTGGAGTTGGAGAGGAGAAGCAAGTTTTTGAACAGTTTGATTCAAAAGAAGAAGGCTATAGAGCAACAAGACCAAACTGAACGTCTCAATGTTAAAGTCAGAGCTTCTGATATGTCTTTAACTCTTCAAAACAGGGCTTTTAGATGTGCTCGAGACCAGCTTGACTCTATGCCTGGAAAGCTTGACAGTAAACGTCTAGCCCTTGCGCTTAAAAAGGTTAAAAATTTCAATCTTTGTTGTCCTTTTTTTTATGACGATTATTCTTTGTTTGGATTCTAGTTTTGATGTAAAGAATTAATGGGTTTGTTTAGATTTTTCATTTGATTGTTTTAGTTGACACAATTTTAACTTTTGCATGTAGGTAGTATTTGACAATTTTGAAGTACTTCTTTTTTTTGCATAAAGTTGGATAAATTAGTTTTTTTTTTTGGTGGTGTATTAGGGGTTTTAATTTGGTGTGTTTGTGGTAAAGAATATTGGGTGAACAAGGTTGAATGTTATAGTTGGATTTATAACTTTAGGGTGCTTGGCTGTTAGGAGTTATAGATATTAGTGGTCCTATTGAGAATTTACTGGAAGCTTTTCTACTTCTAGCTGTGCAATCCAAATTTTGTCTTCCTTTATTCAGTTCTAAGTGAAGACATTTATTCCTTTTGTGTTTTTCTCTTTTCTCTTTGTCTTTTTTTGTATTCTGTTCTACTTGTTATCCTGCTTGTAGTTGTAGATGCTCATATCAATTCCAGAGTTATATGTTACATTAAACCCCATTGCCTAACCCTTTATTCCAAGAGCATCGGCATGTAGCTTAATAGTTTTGATTCATCGATGTCATGGACACTGCTGGTCCTTCTTGTGAGGAGAGAATTGTATTCTGGAATATCTGGAATTGGAATAAGTCATAGATTATTGTAGGGTTTTTTTTTTTTTTTTGGGTTTCAAAATATTGGTGATATTATCTATTGCTATTATGAGCACAGGTACAATCTAACAGAGCTTTTTGTGTTGAATTTGATATGATTTGTCTATCCTTACTAGGTTTAAATTTGACCCTGCCTAAGTTTGTGGCAATGTACTAGACATCCTGTATATGGTGCAAGATTTATGTGCACTCTGTTGACAGAGAGACAATTGAACAAATCTCATCCTTGCAATTGCATTGATTTGTATAATTTGAAAAGGGTCTGTAAAGGACCCTTCCTTGTTAGGCACACTAAGAGTATGAAGCCTGTTACTCATGATTCTGTTGGCGATGACTCATCTAGTCATCCATACTCTGAATCTGAACTAGCATATCTAAGCCGTGCAAAGTTACTATACATATAAAACAAAACTGCAGGGATTCATCAAGCTCATCATGGTCTATAGCATTTTGTTACCTGCTGTTTAAGGCAATATTTGACGTTATTTTGGGTACACTTGCTTTTAGAATAACCTTTCATTTGACTTAACCGCTTGTGTCTCAACTTAAGGAAATAGGGTATTCAGTTCTGTCTTCAGGTCCTTTGCTGTGGAGATGGTAATTGAAGTGCTAGTAATTCTGAGTTATCAACTTGGAACTTCTCAGGATTTTAGTTTGTATAGGTTCATTTGCAACAAATGTAAACTGAAACAAAGAAAGAGAGAGAGAGTTCCGAATTTTGTTAATTGAGCATTTAGCTAAATAACAGGTGCATGCATCATCAAAGCGTCAGGTTTGAATCCCTTTTCACCCAAAATTCAAAAAAAAAAAAAAGTAATAAATATAAATATATACATATATATATTACTTAGAGAGAGAGCCCTGCATAGAATGGTAAAGTGTGTGTAAGGTTGAGCTTGTCTGATCCTTTGTTCTTATCGGTTAAATGATTGATGTTTGAATACTGTTTCTAGTTTAACGTTTTGCTTTAACCATGTAGTCTAAAATATTGTAGGGTTTAGTTATCTGGATTTATTAACATTTTACTCTAATACATAGATAGCCTATGATGAGGATCCATTGGCTTTTCAGGAATTTGACTCGACCTATGGTCCTGCTTGGCACTGCATTGTGGGAACTAGCTTTGGCTCATACGTCACTTATTCACTAGGAGGTTTCTTGTATTTTTCAATTGACAAGGTTTACATTCTTCTCTTCAAGACTGCTGTTGAGCCTTTAGACCATTGATGGTTTTCACAGATTTGTGTTCTACACGTTTCTTGTATTGGCAACAAATTTACAAGTTTCCAATTTAAAGTTACATGTACAACGACAGACTGCAAAACTGATAAACGTATGTATTGTTGGTTCTACAATTTTTATGTTGTATTGCTGAGTGCTAAAAGCATAAATGAGTGATAGGTTCTGGCAGTTTCCTTCTCTTGCAATTTTTTAAGCTTTATAGAGTAAGAGAAAGTCTGGTTTTCGCATGCCTTTGCCAGTGTCTAGGATATTGATGGTATCAAATTTTGTATAATTTTCTCAATTACATGTTCCTTCTGGGCATGTTGTCTAGAATATATATCACTTCTCCAGTAAGGAGCAATACCTTTTTAACTGGTAGGTGAAGAACCAATCCATTTTTTTATCAATACCTTGAACTACATTTGAAGATGCAAGCTTTGCAATATAGACATGTAGGTAAGAATACAACCAAATGTACCTCATCAAGACCTCTTTGATTAAAGATCTTGAACAAATCCAGAGCAAAGAATACAACCAGAAATACCTCAGCAGTTAATAGCAATACAACGACAATCCTGGCTAATCCTTGGGCTTATTTGTACAGATCCAATGACAACACATCTCTCAGAACTACTTGCTGGCCGTATGTTCAGTCGAATGTCACCATGCTAGGCTACAACTCAACTCAAGGGAGAAGCAAAATTGGGCCTATGGTGCAAGTATTTCACTATAAATAGAACCAGATTTTCTGAAAATTTTAAAAGGGTATCGAAATAAAGAAGGCAGAACACAGAGGCAGATACAAGAACATAATGATTTATCGCAGTGTGTTGACTGTATAGGACTCGTAGATACTAAACGGTCCTGCTGGAAACTTTTCTAGTTCGAGTTGTGCCTTGATGCTTTACGTTGCTATTCTTAGTTGAACCATGATTCATCGACCAAAGGCAAAGGCAAGAAACAGTTACGAATCTCGCTCGAAACCGAAGCTTAATAGATTTGATGACTTTACCTCGATATCGCTCTTTTTTCTCTGAACTCGTTCAAATTACCAAACAGAAAAACCTTTCGAGAGGCCGTGCAGTACACGCTCGAATAATACGAAGCGGCGGCTCATCTTCTTGCGTATACCTTCCAACAGCCTTATTAACTTCTACGCCAAATGCGGGGACTTGTCCAAAGCCAAATGTGTTTTTGAAAATATACAACACAAAGATGTTGTCTCATGGAACTGCCTTATCAATGGCTACTCTCAACAAGGCCCGACGATATCCTCCTTTGTCATGGAATTCTTTCAGCGAATGCGGGCAGAGAATTATTTGCCTAATGCCCACACATTCGCCGGCGTTTTCACTGCCGCGTCAAATTTGTCGGATGTTTTTAGTGGGCAGCAAGCTCATTCGCTTGTGATTAAAACCGACAGCTTTGATGATGTCTTTGTTGGGAGTTCTCTTCTTAACATGTACAGCAAATCTGGTGTTTTGGCCGAGGCTCGTAAGGTGTTTGATGAAATGCCGAAGAAGAATTCAGTTTCTTGGGCTACCATGATTTCTGGGTATGCAATGCAGAGGTCTGCTGTGGATGCTTTTGAGCTTTTCGAATTGATGCGTCAAGAAGAGGAGAAACAGAACGAGTATGCGATGTCTAGCGTCCTTAGTGCATTGGCGGATCCTGAGTTTCTTAACACTGGTAAGCAAATACATTGCTTCACGGTTAAAAATGGGCTGTTAGTGTTTTCATCTGTTGGGAATGCTCTTGTTACGATGTATGCGAAATGTGGGAGCTTGGATGATGCACTTAAGACATTTAAATTATCAGGTAATAAGAATTCAATTACATGGTCGGCAATGATCACTGGTTATGCACAAAGCGGGGACTCGTTAAAGGCTCTTAAGTTGTTCTCGAGTATGCATTTTGCTGGGATCATGCCTAGCGAGTTCACTCTTGTTGGGGTTCTTAATGCTTGTAGTGATATGGGTGCTGTTGAAGAAGGAAAGCAAGTGCATGGTTACTTGTTGAAATTGGGATATGAATTGCAAGTATACATAATGACAGCTTTGGTTGATATGTATGCAAAATGTGGTAGTACATTGGCTGCTCGGAAGGGGTTTGATTATATACAAGAACCTGACATGGTTTTGTGGACTTCCATGATTGGAGGATATGTGCAAAATGGGGAGAATGAAAAGCGATGATTTTTATGGTAGAATGCAATGAGGGGATTGTGCCTAATGAGCTTACAATGGCCAGTATCCTGAAAGCTTGTTCATGTCTTGCTGCTGGGAGCAAGAAAGCAAATCCATGCCTGTACTGTTAAGCATGGATTCGGTCTGGAAGTTCCAATTGGAAGTGCCCTTTCAACCATGTATGCCAAGTGTGGGAATCTGGAAGATGGGAACCTTGTCTTTAGGAGGATGCCACGGAGAGATGTAGTGTCATGGAATTCAATGATATCGGGACTTGCTCAGAATGGTCATGGTAATGAAGCTCTTGAACTTTTTGAGGAGATGCTGTCCGAAGGCACAGAGCCAGACTATGTGACATTTGTCAACATGCTTTCAGCTTGTAGCCACATTGGATTGGTAGAGAGAGGTTGGGCTTATTTCAACATGATCTGATAAATTTGGAATTGTTCCAAGAGTAGAGCACCATGCTTGCATGGTTGATATGCTGGGCCTCAGACTTAGAGCTAGGATAGCTAACTATGAGAGCTAAGGAATTCTATGATTATCGCTACAGATGTCAGTGCATGTACTTATGGCGTATCCTATTAAGTGCTTGTCGGAACTTCCGAAACTATGAATTGGGAGCATATGCTGGAGAGAAACTGATGGAGTTGGGCTCTCAAGAATCATCTGCTTATGTCTTATTGTCAAGTATCTATGCTGCCCTGGGCAGGTTGGAAGATGTGGAGAGGGTCAGGAGGATGATGAAACCAGAGGTGAATAAGAACCTGTTGTATGGATCGAACTTAAAGGTGGCGCGTCATTGTTTGTTGTTGGAGACCAGATGCATCCAGATATAAAAACGATACGTGAAGAGGTGCAATAAGCAAACAAATGAAAGATGAAGGCTACCAGCCTTCTTCTGAGTCAGTTTCTCCAACTTCTTATAGCGAGGAGGAACTAATTGCTGCTTGTATGTGATAATTCATTCCATTCTTTGGTCAGTCCTTGTCGACATAATTTCTACATAGTGACATAATAACATTCGGATTTATATCTTTATCAAACCGTGGCAAATGCAAACCATATTTGTTTCTCATCCTGTCTTGCAGCCTGCTAGATGTCTTTCACGATGTAAGCGGCATATCATATATACACTGCAAGGATAGAAGTGTTTTCTCATAGTCTTGATACTATGCTAAAGTAGAAATGAGCTATAGGTTCCGGTAATGTCCAGCTGCTCTTTCAGATTTTGATGTTTTAACGGCGCTCACATGCCTTTTGGCAGTGCTTGGATTCATTACTAGCCTTCACGGTTTCTAACATGTCACGTCTCTTCTATTATCTGTTACCATTTTCCCGTTAAAACATCATTATCTTCCTCAAAAAACAAGGGGACCATAGCCCGTCACTTGCCAAAACCTGCAACTGCTTCTGATTCAAGGGTTCACGTGTCCTGTGGAAGTGGGAAACAAGGGCGTTGAGAACTTTCTGAACCACGTAAATTTGTTCTAGTTACCATTTAGAACACTGTGACGACTTTGCCGTATTGATCATTCAGGTCAGAATTTGTAACGAAATTGTATATAAGTCTATCTAAGGTTTGTGCTTAGTCCATGTGATTATATAATGAATCTAGAAGCCAGTCAATAGTAAAGAAGTTGTGGATCACATATATCTGGTCGCTTATTACAGTTAAATGAAACTGGTGTTTCTTTACACTTATATATTCTCTTCCTGTCAACATCTCTTTTATTTCTAACCTTTTTCTAATTTTCGGTATGTTACTTCTTTGTTAAGGATGAAAAGTCTATAAATAATTCCATCATAAATTATTCCTACACCAAAATATTATGGAGATTGCACAAAGCAGAGAACATGCACCCCTTTCCCATAAGGAATATAATTCTGGACAAGAAGAAGAAGAAAAAGAAGCAGGTTCACCCCATGAGGCTTTGTTTCTTGTCTTGGCCTACCTTCCTTTGTTTGAGCTTCTTGCCATGAGTGAAGTTTGCATGTCTCTGAGAGATGCAGTGGAAAAGGATATACTGCCTTGGCTAAACATAATTGTTGAAAGCACTTTGAACCTGCGTTGCTGCCTGATGAGGATTCTGATGAAAGTTGCTTCGAAGGCAAAGAGGCTAAGAACCTGGCTAATCAACTGTGCCTGGATTAGTGATAGAGGGCTCTACAAAGGGTAATTGACAAAAATCCTTTATCAACAAGGTATGAAAACTTTAAGAAAGTTTCTATTTCTATTGTGCCCTCTGTTTCTTTTCCGACGACTAATGTTAGAATAGCTCCTACCTGCTTTAAAGTTCTATTACCTAGACACAGCCTGATCATGTTTCCTTTCCTTTAGTATATAGAATGGATAGGATTTCTTGGCTAGGAATTAATCCACTTGTCTTATGTGGTGGGATCAAAAACTTGACCAAACCAGACCGTCCCTCAGACAATAGTGTACCAGTTCAAGCCCGCAATGTCTTATACTTGAATCTTAGAACTTGCACAGCACGTATCAATAAAAGCCTTAGCTTAATTTCTATCCGAAGGATCGATGCACTATATATTAAGGAGTTTGACTGTATTCCAATTCAGAGTTAGTTTTGTTTTGTTTTGTTTGGTCATGATATCGGCTCATATGCATATTTCACTATGATTCAGTTGTACGTACCAGGTTGCACTGGCTTAACCCCTAATGGAGTAATAAGGGCTGTTCAGAAGCTATCCGAGCACCACCACAGCCTAAAACGCCTGCAGGTGAATGGCATCTACAACATGAAGAAAGAACACCTGGAAACTCTTCACCATTACCTGCTAACAAACCAAACAAAGCAGCAGGTTCAGCAAAAGCAACGGCCTCTCCTATATCATAATTTCAGAAAGTTTCTAGCATATAGATGGGAAGAATTTGGCAGAATCATTGATGTGGAAATCTGTCCCAGGTGCAGTGAAGCAAGGATGGTTTTTGATTGTCCTAGGGAGGAATGCAGAAGCAAGAGAGAGAAATATTCACTGATTGATTGTAGGATGTGCAAGTTCTGCATTCCAAGGTGTGAAGAATGTGGTAGGTGTGTCAAACCTGAAGACTTGGAAGTGGCTGTTTGCACTGATACTCTGTGCTCAGATTGTTGGTTTCAGCTTTCTAAATGTAATTTTTGTAACAAGCCATGTTGTGGGCAACATGCAGACCTGCAGATTAGTTCCAGTGGCTCAAGTGGGTGGATATGCGGTGTTTGCCATGATCAATTCCTGACAGGTTCAGATGATGTTGGGCAATGATTTTTCTTGCATGCCATTATTTTTTGAGGCATACGATTGATAAATTAATGGAATTGTGGCTATTTTATATGTTTTTATTTATACATAAACCACAATCTTGCGATAAAGTCTTCTGTTTTTTATCTTTTAATTTTCTAATATTCTAAAAACAAATATTAACCCATGATTTCTTTAAAAAAATTGTTCATATTTTTCTTTTTTGTTTTTTATTTGAGTTTCCTTTCACTTCCCATTTAAAAATTCATTATTTCATTTAAGCTAAATATTTTGGTAAATGCAATTTTGGTATTAAATGCTTATATACAATTTAAATCATCAGTTGCAGCTTAGATAAATGATTTTTATAAAAAAAAAATTATACAAGCTTTCAATTATAGTGAGAATTGGGATTGGGGAAGAACCAACTTGCCCGCATTTGACTGATTTAATAAATATTTGAGTAAAATATCAAAATTTTTTTAAATTTTAATCATAACTCTACATAAATTTATTAATATTCAGACTGAACCATTCATCTCAAAAAAATATCTTTCACTGTTAGTAATCAATAATTAATAATTTTATTAAATTTGATGATATAATAATATTTTTAAATAATTTTACTTTTTATTAATTTTTAGAATTATCACACTCTATAAATTATAACTTTTTAATTTTAAAATTTTCTCTCTTACACAAAATTTTCTTTCTGACTGACCACTCCATGACTGGATTTGACCGAGAAGCACCAACGCCCCCCAGTATTCCCCTGGAAAGTGTTGATCTAAAACGTACTCCCTCGTGAAGAAGAACATCTACCCTCCCCCTAGAGAGATCTCATCAAATCTAACATTTCACGATTAAATTTGACTACAAGGTAACTAATTAGTGTAAAATATTTTAACCATGTTACATTTATCCGTTAATACCGTTTGCACATTTGAGATAAACTTTTTATTTTAAATGTTAATAAACTCGTGTGAAATTATAATTAAAACTTAAAAAGTCAAGATATTGTACCATAAATATTTTGACCTCCATATTTAAAAAGATTTAAAGAATACCTCAACGAGATATCTTGATGAATAATACTTTAAACCACAAATCAAAAAGGACACTGCAAATCCAGTATAAAGAATACAAGCCCAACCTCAACAAGATAGCTACACCTACACAGCAACAATTTTGAATAATCCTTCGGCTTGTTTGTACAAAATCCAATGACAATGAACCCAACTCATCTTAAATCTACTTGCTATCCATATGTTCAGTCAAATTTGCCACCCTGCAACTCAACTCCTCTAGGAGAAACAAAACTGGGTATGCTGCAAATATTCCAACAGAAATGGAATCCAATTTCCCGAAATTTAAATTTTTCAATGGTGTTAAAGACCGAAGGGCAAATACAAACAAGTTCTACAAGAAAACAGCACTCATAAGTAAAACAGCTATTATCACAGAGGTTGTGAAAGAACCAGTTCCATAGGAATATTGTGATGCGCAGCCTGAACTTGTGGAGTTTGACGAAGGAGCCAGTGATGTGCCATTGGTTATGGTGCCGTTTTTTCCAATACTACAAAAAAAATTATAAAGTCGTGTCAGCAGATTTCCATATGGCCATCATATATGCATCATAATCTCGCTTGAAGAACAAGTAGTAATATTTAGAAGCATCGGTGCATACCTTCCAGGAAATATACAGGAACCATGACCTGCACCAATGGACAACATTAGCGAGTTATAGGTGCTGCTAAAAAAAAAAACATTACCTGCTAACTTCCTTCACATGCCTCTTCTTTTTGATGTGAGAAATGATAGAATGCAATCTAGTAATTATGTTCTCAGCTAAAAATTGAATAACACCACAGGTCCATCATGTTATTGTACTTTGAATGTTAAATAAAAGCAACCTCAATTTATTCCAATTAGACTCAGAGTTTCCACCATGTACCATCAAGACTTTTGGTAGCATTAACTGCTAATGTTGTCAGCTCATCAGTTCTCAAAATAAAATAATAAAATGAAAAAAATTCTAATAACTAGGGTCTTATAAGAACCAATATCATAGTCACTTACTTGGATCAGTTGTAGTGATGGTAGCCACCCCCTTGAAATCACAGGTCCCAGGAGACTTGGCCATCTGCTGGAAATACGCATTGAAAGCATATGTTGAATGGGAAACCACATTATCAGGCTCATAACATGGATGCCCCTGCAACAAAGGTGAGCACTCAACTTTCCCTGGTCCACAAGCCCAATCAAGTGCTGCCTGTAACATCTTCGGATCAGCACCCTCCTTTGCAACACAGAAAGTTTGGTTTGTAGTGTCATTCGCCAACACGGTACCAGCACCTGTCAAGTGTAAGATATAAACTGGTATACCATTGGCATCAAATAGCCCCCAATTTTTTTCTGAAACTGACCCAGGTCTCAAATCCTCATTGTAAAGCTCATAGATGTAAGTACTAACTGCAATCCTGGGGTGTTTAGGGGTTCCGGTGTTGTTAAGAACATGCCTGATCAAGTTACTGTTGTATGTATTAGCATTTTCAAGTGTTGCATCAGGCTCAGATGAATCACCCTTAGAAGACCAACCAGTCTCAGTCACTACAATTGGAATTTTGGTGAAGTTTAAATAAGACATTGCAAAATATGCTGCATCAACAACAGCATCAAAGACATTAGTGTAATGCAAGAGTGTGTTAGCATCCACAGCTTCTTTATTAGGAGGGAGAGGACGGAAAAGAGCATAGTCCAATGGGATCACTCCATTTGATTGCATGTAATCATAATATGGATATACATTGAGCATGAGGTACGACCCTGTAGACTGCAAAAATTTTAGCAATGGAACCATGACTGGGTCCCATGAGCGATTAAAGAAAGCTTGAGAAGGTGGAAAAGAGTCCAGAATAATTGAAGAAGAATGTGGAGTAGAGACTTTGATTTCACCATCAAGATTAGAAGCAACAAGGGCAGAGTGGATAAACTTTAAGGCAGAAACAAGGACTGGAGCAGCATTTGGGAGTGCAGTTAGAACTTCAGATCCAACAGCTATTGCCGTGATGTTGGTAGCAGGGACATGGGCTATAACATTGCGAGCCACCCAGTTGGCGGCAGTGGCATTTGACTGACCAATGCCAAGGAGTTGGTCATTGGGGACAGAGACAGTCACCTGGATGCCTGTGTTGGCAAGTGCAAGGAGCATGGCTCGATCAGCATCATAAAGCCTGACATATTTGATACTTTGAGCCTTGAGAAGGGCCACCACTTGAGTAGGGCTGGGCATGTCAGATAAGTCTGTACCAATGTTCACACCAACAAAGGCATCTGCAGAGAGTGATCCACAGGCAGATGTTAAGAAAAGTGTCCGATCCACGAAATAAGAAAGGTCTTCAATCTTGATAAGGATTGACAATGTCCAATAACCACAGCAATTGCATAAAAAATCACTGTGTATGCCAACAATAGGCTAAACCAAAGGAAATTTATATAATTAAAGCACATAGAAAAATAGGGAGAAGAAGAAAAGAATGCAAGTTGCAAATATGATTTAAACAACTAAGATGCAGAAATTTAATTATCATTAACTCAATTAATTACAGAGAAATGCAGTTCCATCCAAAAGAAACATTGTTGATCATATCATTAGCCTTCATCAGTAGATGTTAAATTTCATAGGGAACACCAGATTAAGGGTTCAAACTTCAAAGTAGCTTCAAATGGTCAGTTTGATGACAAAATATAGCTGCTTATCAGTATAAGTTCAAAACGTAGCTCTGGGTTAATCATAGCACCAAGACATTAGAAAATCTATCTTCTCTTGCAAAGCTCCAATGTAGGATAATAATTCAAATATCTTTCTGGCTAGATCTGGTTTTCTCTGTATTCCTCTTCTGTCTGGGACATACAAGACAGTACAACAAAAGTAGTAAAAACTATTATGGGCATCTATGGCCAGTGATAACTAAAGAGGAAAAAGATTGATGAAGCAAACAGATTTTATAAATCCTATAAACATTATAATGGCACAATAATGCAGTAGCATCACTGCATTAGGGAACACTTCATCAAGAATAACAGTTCAATCCTTCCATTTAGCAGGATAGAAACTTTTAAAACTGGGAATCTTTAATTTCTTTCAGCTAATCATTTCAGCCCCTAGAAGGATTTCATCACATTCAAGCAGCATCTTTGAGGCTTCTACTTAAAGTTGAAGGTCAGTTCCACACTTCAAATAGATAAAGATCAATTTCATCAATTCATTTTACTTTAGGACAAATATAATCTCTTAATACAATCCCATAATCCCATTCAGCAGTAAGTTTTGACTCAAAGGTTCCAAAGTCATTTTCAAGTGGTTGCTTTCTTAGTAGAAGCAGAGAAACAGAAGCAAACTGTTATACTTGGAACAAAAATGTATAATTAAATAAGAGTAGCTGGAAGGTGGGTAAAATATCACATCAGATAAGCAGCACAACACTCCCATACTTGTTCATTTCTCGAGGCTCCGATTGAAAGCTAACATCAGCTAAACTATGTAGCTTTGATATGGCATATTATAATAATTTTTTTTTCAGTATAATTCTCTTAACAATTTAAGTCCACATAGAAGGAGACATCAGACATGACATGGCATCACCATCCATCATAAATAATACTAAAGCACATGAATTGATTACTCACTTGACCACTAGAACACCCAACCGTTGGATCTGTACCCAAGATTCTATATTAAAAGTAGTTCATTATAAAAAACGGTTCAGGGAGGTGATGGGTCTCAGCATAAAATATACGGGACCAACTACGCAGGATGTTGTCTTTCTACCATTAAGATGACAATGCTACCCTCCAATGTACATTTCCTAGGATGCCAATACCTCCCTTCCATAAGGTTGTTTTGGTCCTACAAAATATTCTGTGGAAATGTAGTTTAGAAAGGTAAAGGACGCCACATGAGCTGGGACGCATTACAGTTGAGATTCCCATTAAAGATGCGGAGAGGGAAGATGAGACGAGTTTCCAACAAAGGAAAAGACTTTCCTACAGAGGTTCCTGCTTTGACAGGAACAGAGTTAATACCCAAAGGGAAAGACCATTCTCTCTCTGTCTCTCTCTAACCATCATAATTTCCAGTTTCCGCAGAAAAGTTTATGATAAAAAAAAGGTAAAGTAAGATTGTGATTTCAAACAACACAACGAGATTAATGGCCCACAGAACCAAACAAGAAAATCCAAATGACAACACTTATAGTCAGCTCAAATTTTAAAAATCCAAAATTTGTACTGCCATTCAACTTAACTGGAAAACAGAGACAATAGCAAAAGATGTGAAATAGTAGTTTTAGTACCCACAAAATGTAGAGACCAATTTTATACAGAAACATATTAATGCACACAATGAAACATCAAATGCAGAAGTAAGAAAGTACAAAGAGAGACTATATTGACAGAACCAGGAGGCAAAGAGAAAGCTTACTCAAAACACCGAAAATAAAAACACAACCCATCACTGAAAGAACAAATGAAAAGAGAAATAGCAATGAGTTACAGAGAAACTACAAGGAGAAAACATAGTTTTTACAAAGATAAGCAGCGATACCCACAAAAATAAGCATATAAAAAACAGCTGAGCCTAAGGGTAGTAACTATAGCTTCAAAGAAACTTACCCTCATCACCAGCAACAGCAGAGACAAGTAAAAGCAAAAGCAGCGGGAAAATAGCCATTTGAGTAAGTAAAGCTTCAATCTTTCAAAACCATACAAAGCTATTCAGTTCAGTCACAAAAGAACCCACCAAAAAACAAAACGAAGATAGATGAGGGAAGAGACAGACAAAGTGAGAGAGAGAGAAAAGGGAGCTGCTTTTGAGGTTTGGAAGTAGAAATAGAAACAAGTGCTGAACTGGAACACTAAGGAGAGAGAGAGGGGTGGGGGGGTTTAGTTTAGTTGTAAAGAAGGAGAGGTTTTTGTTACTTTGTGCCAATTAAAGTTCTAGTACTAGCCTAGATAGATTGATCAGATTTTTTGTGTCAGAAATCCAACGGTCCAGATTTAATTGCTGTGTACTGTAAGAATGAAGGCCTACCACAGCAGAGTACCAATCTGGCTCTCAATTTTCTTTAATCTTTTTTTTTTTTTTGGCTACTCGAAGTGTTTTTAAAAGATTTATGTGTTCGTGCTGTTTGTGTTGTGTTTTTTTGGGTCAGTGTTATTGCAGAGTAGAGTCACAGTCTACGAGGAGAGTACTGTGTCATTGCTGACGTGGCGTGGTAGATTGGACTCAACGGTCACTATCCGGCAGATCTTTCATTTATTTCTTTTTTTTCCCTCCTTTAATAATTCTCTGTTTTTTAATTTGTTTGCTTCTGTAACTGGGAAAAACCCCATTGAGAGGAGCATTGGCTAAACGGGACAGCAACCAATATACCTTTTGCAGCTGTTTGGTTGCCGAGAAAATTCTGTTTACAATATATGCCATTGCCACTTGCCAGCCTACTTGGGTAATGTATATTATTTGTGGCAATCCCATTACTGTGAAATATCACATGAATTATTGGAGAGATTTTCTGTTTTAATGGTATTGCTATTTATGTGGGAGGGGCTAGAGAGTATATTTTTCTTTTTCTTTTCCTTTTTCTTTTTCTTTTTTTGTTAAGAATACCAAAAGAAAAAATACAAGATTGCCAGAGTTATCTTTATTTTGCTATTTAACGGTCATGTGAAACTTTTTTTATTTTATTTAAATTTAATTTTTTACAAAATATATATATATATACACACACTTAAGATTCAGTTAATTATTCGAATTGTCAAGTATGTACTGTAACTTTCAAATTGTTGTATGTGTTCCTTTATTACATCACCAAAGTCACACTGGCCTGGTTAAATATATAAATTAAAAGTGTTGCTAAAAGATGTGACTTTTAAAGTTAATTATAATATTATTATAATTAATACATGTGATTTATAGGATAATTTTAAAGTATAAATATATACACGCACAAATAAACATTCTTAACATAATAGTGAATACTATATATATATATGACTATGCATATTAAATTTTATTAAAAAATTCAAGCATTCAAATGAAAAATATGGTTAAAACAAAAGTGAATATGTTCAAATAAAAATTTGCATTGGTGTAAAAGTTGTTTCATTTAGATAAAAGGTAATAATAAGAGGAAGAAAAAACAATAAATTGATGAAAGATGCAATTTTGATATTGAATTAGAACAATAAATTGATAATGACAGAAAAAATAAATCTTTTCAAAAACCAAATAATTTATTGAACTTACATTTATCAAATATTAATAATTACATTAAACTTCATAATAAGCAAAACATAAAAATTCATATATCAATATAGCACAAAACTTTATTTGTGGAAGAAGTAATGGTGCTTTGCTTATTGATGAATGAATTGAACTTTCAAAAAAGAAATTTTTATTAAAAAACGGAAAATGGTGTCAAAATATTGATATATGATTTCAGCAATTTATTATGATAGAGACTTAGAAAAATCAAATAAAAAAACAAATTAAAAGTAACTGTCAGTAAAATAAATTAATATAATAATAATGATAGTCATTAAATATTGCATAAAACAATCCGAAAAGAATGTAATGTAATTAATGCAAATTTTAGTATTATAATTTTTTAATTTGAGTTATCCTAGGCAAATATATTTCTAGTGACAGTATCATTTTTAAATTTGAATTTTAACACATTAAATAGTCGTTTATATGTTTCTTTAAGCAAACAATTACAAAATTCTTACCTAATGTCTAATTTAAATTTGTATTAAACGTGTAAAATGCACAAATGGAAATAATTAAATGCAATAAATTGAATCTTTTAATACCAAAATTAAAATTTGACATTAATTAATAGACAACTAACATTTGTTTATAACCTAAATATGTCAGAAAAATAAGCTATCCACATACGATTTTTTTTAACTAAAAATTTTGTCTATTATATTTATATTGGATTTATAATATTATTCTCACATTATATGTAATAATTAATAATTAATGCAATAAATTCTAATCCATTGGGAAAATCTATTACTTACAATATAGCAATTTTAAAGAATATCTTTAGAATACTCCTTAATGAAATTCATAAATTATATAAATGAGGATTTGGATTCCAATCTTTTTATTTTATTTTTAATTTTTTTATTTTGATATAAGGGAGTAGAATAACTTATTACTTTGGGAAACATACAACAATCTCTTCATTAAACAATAAGTGTCGAATTCCATTTAGAAACTCCATATAATTAGCTACCCAATTCACACGAGAAACGTGGCGTCCATACTAATTAAATTCTAACAACCGACCATCAACAATGAGAGAGGATTGTTATAAATTGAGCGAAATGTGATTAAAAAATAATGATTAAAGTATTCAAATAGTTTTTATATTCATATATTTTTGTCAATTTAATTTTTATATTCAAAATTTTATCAATTTAATTTTTTAATTTTAAAAATTAAAACAATATAGTTTCTCTTCTAACATTGTCAATTTTCTCGTTAGAAGTGATAACATGTAGTGTTGACATGATAAATTTGTTGACGTTATAAAGCCATGTAGCAATAATGATGACGTGATACTCACGTGGAATTGACATGGTAATGTAATAATGCCATGTAGCAATACTAACATGACAAATCAAGATTTTTTTTTTTAAAAAAAATGTGTACCATATTATAAGAATTAAATTAAATAAAAATGTATAATATATACATTAAATTAAACAAAATTGAGGTATTTAAAGACTAAATTAAAAAAAATACAAATCACTGAGTAGATGATACATATTCTTATTAATAAGTCAAATGTTTAAATGTAAAAAATTTAGAATGTTACAAATATATATAAATATTTCTTTACTTGATTATTTGATTTCATATATTAATTTAGATTTTTTACAAAAAATAAGTTTAAATTCTCTTTTTATAAAAAAATTTAATATTTTATAGAGTTACTTTTACAAATATCATTATTAAATTCGTTATCACTTAATTTTTTTTAATTTGATATTATTTTTAATGAAATTATTTCATAATCCATTTATAAAAAGAAACAAAAAGATTTAATTGCCTTTTTTAATATATGTATGAAACCGAAGTAAGCCCATTAAATACTTTAAAGACAAAATAATTTGCCAAGAAATCATCTCATTGAACATTGAGATTTTGAGTACTTAAAAAAATATTTCTTGCCTTCTAATTATTTTGTTTACCTTATAATTAAATTTAAATTATTATTGCCAAAAGCCAAAAGCTTGATTCTAGCTATGATTTCAATTTGACAACTTATAAAAAATCACAAAAATTTGATTGAGATTGGAGACCAAAGAGACCACAAAATTCATTAAACCCACAAATTAACCTTATAGATATTTTTTTATTGTTTAAAGTTACCTATATAAAAAAAACCTTATAAATATATTTCTTCAATCTCCAAACCCTACAAAACAAAAAATATATATTTATTATTTTTTCAAAATTAACATTATCATTCTAATATTTTTATATATGTTTTGATCAAAGGTCATAAAAGATGAGCTTAGTTTGCATTTCAAAAGCTGAGAATGGTTTAGAATAACCTAATAAGATCCACAATGAGTAAACTCCACAAATTAAATTTATAATTCTTTCTCAACTAAAAATATGTAATTGTTAATAATAGATGATTGATGATGGACAATGGTCTTCATCAACAATCGGCATGTGTGATTATCACAGAAGGGCACGGCCCTTAATTAAAATGTTGCCCTAACATTGACTCCAACTTCTATTGCGTTTTGATGGAAGATTAAGAAAATGCCAATAGTTGTATGCAATTACTCCAACATTTAAAACTTCATGATTTTAGTGTAATATAATATTTAATAATATAAAAGTACATTTATAAAATATTGAAATATTTTTTCAAAAGGGAAATTGAAACTTAATTTTTATAAAGAAAATAAATTAATGTACATATTTTCGAATCAAATAATCAAGTAATAAAATATTTATACATAAATTTTAACTCTATAAATCTTTTAGACTTAAACATTTGGCTTTATATTAAGTATATGTATCATTTAGTTAAAGATTTATATTTTTTAAATATTTTTTAAATTTAATCTCTAAACATCTCGATTTTGTTTAATTTAATCCTTATATTATACATTTTTATTCAATTTAATTCCTCTAACATGATATACAATTTTTTTAAATTTTTTTTTCTCAATTTACCATGTCAGTATTACCATGTGAGATTATCACATCATTATATTAGTTCCATATGACATTGTCCCATCATCATGTCAATTCCACGTGGTAATACTATCATCATTTAATGTCATGTAGTATTGTCACGTTAATAAATTTGTCACATTAGCATCTTATCAATGTTGATGTCAATAACTCTAACAATAAAATTGAACAACGTTAAAAGAAAAATTAAATTGTTTTAATTTTTAAAATTGAGAGATTAAATTACTAAATTTTAAATATAAAAATTAAATTGTCAAAAATGCATACTTTGACCCAAAGATAATACAAACATAACTTTTTTTTCATTTCTTTTTTCCTTTCACCACTTAATGAAGTAACCTCTTTTGAAAACTAAATTGAGGAAAAATTATAATTTGTAAATAAGCTATAATTTTTATTAAAATAATCAATAAAAAATAATTCAAGTAAATTGAAAAACTTTGAATTATAATTTGTAAATAAACTATAATTTTGATTAAGTTGTTTTAGACTCAAGTTATTCATGTTGCTATCTTTTAAAATCAAATTGAATTCAAGCAAGTATTAACGTTGAGTCAAATTTATTATTTTTAATTAACTTAATTAATAGGTAAAATATTCAAACACTTTTAATTTTTAATCATAATCACATGTAAATTTATTAATTTTTAAAATGAAC